TGAACATAACCTATAAATAATAAGAGAGTGGCGGCGGCAGATCTGTTAGAATCTGTCCCTCCTTTCAACCCCTTGTGTTCTCCTGTTTCTCTTCTATTCCTTCTCCTTTCTTTTACTTTTCTTCTGTTTTGTAAACCTAAAACCTATTAGGATTCAAGACTGATTACAGTCTTGATCTTCTGCTTATACCCAGATTCAAATTCAATGCATTTATATTTGGGTTTGAATCAAATCCTAACCATGGGATATGTATTGAAGTTGAACTCTGAATACTATAATAAACTGAACTAGAAAAGTGTTCAGTATATTAATTTTTAATAGAATGAGTTTAGAATGATTTTCATATAATATTTCATCAATAAAAATGACTTTAAATAACTCCAATGAGACTTGAGCCTATACTTTAGGAAAAATACAATATTTTGACCATTTTTACTAATAAAATACATACTCTCCCTGTCTCTATAGATGTATTAGTAGTCATCCACATTTTCTGGTAAATTTGCCACAGTTCTGAAATTGTTAAAGGGTATCCTTAAGACCAGCCCCATTTACATGCTTGAGCTATATATAGTACATTCTCCAGACCAAGCCACAGATGGGCTAGAGGTTAATGCTCAAAAGGTGTCCCTTGCCAGAGGTTAGAAGAGCTACAACATTCTACATTCAGATCCCCTAACTCAGACTTCAAGGATCTGGGACCCAGACTCAAATAGCTATTTTTCTGTTAAGTCTTGTCYTGCTGCCTTTCTTTTATTGAAATGAAGCTCTCATGCAAGGGAAATGGATCTGAACACTAAATATACCAAGTTACTAAGATATACTATGTAACCACTTAAAGGTTCTCTTTTAAATTTCTTTTTTAAGTATTTTGGTTCTAATAGGCATTTTTTCTAGAACTTGGTATCATGTAGAATCCAATCTTACTCATCTAAATATATTCAGTCATAACTTCTAACTCAGTTCCAAGTTAACTTGATAAAGAAAAAAGGCCATTACCCAATGTTGGTCCCAACTAGGTAAGGTCTTGGGAGGGGTGGATTAGATAAGGACATAACCTTTGGCATCTTTTATACAAGTGGCTACACTCAGATTAACCYGCATTTTCGCACTTGTTAATGAAAGTAGCCTTTTTCTCAAAAAAATTGGGTAAGGCGTGCTTTGGCACATTTCCACTTTTTTATTTTTTGATAGATAGCACATTTCCACTTGTGCATTATAAGTTTATAACTAATTCTTTTTCTTTATATCAATAAAATTTTCATGTGTCCATAAAAAAAAAATAAAAATCATTATGAATAAGAAATCAAGAGCTGTAGCTACAGGCTGTCCAAAAAGCAGTAAAGAACTGGCACACAGAAAAAAGAAACAAAAGCATACAAAAAGAATAGGAAGAAAACAAAAAATAAAAAGATCAATAAAAGACCTACAATCATGATCAAATGTTGATAATAATCTTCCATGCATTTGAAAATCTTCTTAAGGAAAAAACATGATAATTTTGGTTATATTTAAAGCTCAAACAGAACATAGGTTACACCTGTAGCTTGGTTTCAATCTCCATTTCAGAGCATTGCTCTGAGTGGATCTACTTGATTACAGGAAGAACTGAGGACAATAGATAGTGGAGATATTACAACTTATCTTGCACAACTATGTCCTGTATCCTAACCTACAATCAGATGCAAATATCATAAATATTTGACCAAGGGCTATGTCATCTCAATTGAAGCTAGAGATAAACATTTCATGAAGCCAAGATGAAAGGAATTTCAGCAACAAGAAACCATCCAAACTATTAATTAGTATGTTTAACCCTAGAACAACTTATTCAAAGGGCTAAACCATTGAATGTCATACCTTTATCAAATTGTCTCCACGTAAGCATGCTTTACAATTACAAGACCCATGGCATGCAGGGCATACCCTCTGGATCTCCTCATATGATATGTCAGGATACCTATAATGTAACCACAGAAACCATTAAACATACAGTTAACCAGGTGGGATACCAAGTTTCTTACACTGCAACTGAGTAACTTCTATGCACCCTTACCTCTTAGCAATGCAGCTATCACAGTATCCCCTCCTATCACATTTCAGACACCAGATTACTCTACCTCTGTCATTTTGCCAACACTGATGGCAAGTTTGCCTACCAGCTTCTTCAGATGTATCTGTACTCTATCTAAAAGGTCCTGAGATACCAGCTATTATCTTAGAGCACATGTTTTTACTGAAGGTATGACCAACACCCATGGTTCACTAAAAATGCCTTTGGTTGCAAATACACTTGACCTGATGAGAGAGAATGGAGTATTGGAGAAGGAACTGGTCCATGGATTTATGGACTCATTGAATCTATTCCTATGACAGCAGCGATGCAGCCTAAGCTGGTGCTCTCTCAGCTTATCAGCCCACTAATTCTTGGACTTGGCTTTTGGCATTATTTACACAAAGTGGCCTCTCTCAGACATAACCTGCATTCTCATGTTTATCAGCCCACTGATTCTTGGACTCATTAAATATATTCCTATGACATGTGCAAAATAGATAACTACTCTATGAAGCTGAAATTGACCCAAAAATGAAATACCTGTAGATTATGGAACTGTCATTGGAATAGAAGTTGGGAAAAACTTAGTTTCTTTCTTTGATTATGGAATTGTCATTAAGATGGTTTATATATGCTATTGTCTAAGGGATTTGGGAAGGAAGCAATACTTCAGTCTTCCATAATAGAAGAGGATATTTTCTAGGCTGATTTGGTTTTTGTCATTCTGATTGCTTGTTGAAACAGGCGGAAACCTCTAAAGTATCTTAGTTGAATCTTTGATCGGGTGGTGGCAATTTATTGCTTTCTACCAGCCTGTGGGGTTGGATCTTTCTTCTTCTTTCCTTCCTAGTGAGGGTGTCATTTAACTTGTCTTTGACTGGCTTGCCCTGTCAATTCTGGGGCCTTAGGTAGGTGGTGTCTTTGGAACCAATAGATCTTCATTAGAGAAAAGGAAAAGAAATAGCATCAGATTGGAAACTACTCATTCCACAAACAGATATTAACCTGTAATCTAGGATTTCCAGATGGTGAGTTGTTACAGAGAATTGGCAATAAAAATTCACGCAAGCATGCTGGATTGTTTCCCTGCATTAAAAGATAAGAAGGAACTTAGCAAAAACAAAAGTTGAAATAAAATCAATCATAAAATCTGTTTTTTGTTCATAGCACTCAAGTTGATAAAGCTTAAGTTTCAGCATTCAAACAACTAGGAAAACTAGAGAATCTATAAGCATTTACCATGTCATGGACAACTTTGTAGATTCAGAATTTAAGATGATGGTTTATTGACAGGGTTCAGAATTGATGATGGTATGAAGTTTTTGATGGATTTGTTGATGGCATAAAGTTGCCAAAGTTAACTTACAAGTAGGGGTGGCAATTTATGGCCCAGTACATCTAACCCACCCATGTCATGTAGCAGGTTGCAAGTAGGGGTGGCAATTTATGATAGCCTCTGTTAATCACCTCATTTAAGATTTCTTAATGCCCCTTGTTTTTCTAAACTATATGGAATCTATCCCCACCTCCAGATGGAGCTATTAATTTGTGTCTTTGGTGTGTTTGCATTATGTACCAGTTTAATTTGCTTCTGTATTTGGCATTTACTTTTTCTTATTGATGACAGTGATAAGAAGAGCACCTCATGAGTTCAAGATTGCATCTTCACAGGTGCACTTCTTCCCATTTTGTTCTAGAAATTTTAGGTATTTATATCAGATCAGTATTGGTGTTTGGGATTTTGATTCTGCCAATTCGTGATATATATTTTTCCTCTCTCTCTCTCTCCCTTGTTTAACTTTGGTTTGATTTGGGCCTTGGGGGACTTTGTAGTCAAAGGTCAGAGAAGACCAAAGTAGGGAGTGCTTTGAGTGGTGCACCGGTAAACACTCTGGTTGGGCTTGCTATTTCCAAATAGATTATTGATGTGCTTGTTATTTAATTGGGATAGATGTTTGTGTTGCATGTATACCAATGGGTGGTTTCCTTGGTTCCTTATTCTCTGTCGTGGATACAGGGCTTCACCCCATCCTCTCAATTCTAATGTTTTGGTTGCACCAACATTTTAAAGATCTCCCTGCTGATCTTCCAATGGTTCCAGCAGTTGTAGTGGCTCCAGACTTGATAAAGCCTCAAGGTTTTGTTTTTTGTTTTTTCCTTTGATCTCTTTAGAAATAAAAAAATTAGGTGACTTTAGATCAAAACTTCCATAAGCTAATTTAGTAGAATACTATTTCCAAATAGATTATCTATGTGCTTATTATTTAATTTTCTTTTCTTTTTATTTAATTTAGTGTAGGTGTTGCATGTATACCAATGGGTGGTTTCCTTGGTTCCCTTTCTTCATTATCAGCCACCTATTTTGGATCTATAGCAATTGAGTGTAAGATGAAAACCTTCCTGATTTGTCTCTGTTTATCAAATCTTAAATTCAGGCAGTATCCAACAGGTTGTCTGAATTCGGGGCAGGAATACCTAATTCAGTGGTGTGCACAACCATTAACAAAGTCTGCATCTGGGATGAAGGGTGATGGGACTTTCTCTGGTAAATGGTATCTCCATTACTGTTGGAATTTGGATTGTGGAGGAGGATTTTTATTTTCTTCTGGTGTGGGAGGAGAAAGAGAGAGATCAAGAGATGGGGTTAGCATGCTTGAAAAGAATCCTTGGGTAAGTGAAAATTAGGACTGTTATGGACCTATTAGAAGCTGTCAGATTTCATTTTGCTAGCTAATTAAAGCCATTCAAAAATGTATATTTCAGACTTCTCAGAGTTTAATTTGTTCATGCATTACCTGCTTCAGTTGACCATTCTTTTTCTCCCTTACAAATTTTGGTTGGTTGTTTTTAATGTTTTCCTTATCTTAAACAGTTTGGGCAAGTTGGTGTTGGTGATAATGTTGATCACTGTTCTCTAGTGCAAGTAAAATTTCCAAATGAATAGGTACATTCCTGTTGGGCTAGAATATTGAGCTCCACGACTTTTTTTTTTTTTCTTCTTTCTTTTTTCTTTGACTTCTCATTTGAGGTAGATGTGGTCAATATGAAGTATGGTTTTGTTTTCCTTTAATTTTTCATGAATCGTTGCTGGGCTTCTTAGCAGAAAGTGGTACAGATCTCTTATGGGTGGAGGCATACACTAGCTGTTTCAGAAAGGCAGAACGTTTTCTCTTGGTGAAGAGGTACAAATCGACAAATTGGACACGGAGATCCTCTTGATAGGCAATTGCTTTTCTCAACATGATTGATGTTTGAAATTGAGTCACCCTTTGATTGTTTTTCCCTCCAAATACATCTCTCATTTCTTACATGGGTAATTGTGTCAATCTTGATGCTACAAATTGAAATTATTTTGTCGTTTGTGAATGTGGCATTGCTCTATGGTTTTAGAAATCATAGATCACATCTGAACCAAATCTTTCCACCTAGGGGAGGTCATGAATCAAATTAAACCTAAGCCTACCTAAATCCTAATTACCCCTAGTTCTGATTCCATTATCCTATCTTTCTTTTCCACCTTCCCTTTGATCTTAAACCCCAATTGTGCCAAATTTTCCAATTTTCCCTTATCCTATCTTTATTTGAAATTGTGCCATGGTTTCATATCTGAGTTGGTTTAACTGCAAATTCCTCCACGTCATATCTTGTGACTCATATTAAAATAACTATTGTTGCATATTTACAGGTTCATTTAGCTCTTGAAAGCAAGTTCCACTTCCAAAATACATCAGAAGGTTGATAGAAGGTGATTCAAGATAGTTGTGGGAATCAGGTAAAATAGTTTATTACTTGATGCCTGTAGTTCGCTCTAATGGCTTTGGCTGTGATATTTTTGTGTATTAATTTTATTGGTGAGCTACTCCTAAATAAATCTCTTTATTAGATGATTGACATTAATCATTCCAATTAGGTAATGAAGAAATTTTGAATAATATTGTGTTGATTTTAGATAATCCTAGCAGTTGGAATCAAACTTTCAAGCAATTATAATGATAATGGCTCTCTCTCTCTCTCTCTTTCTCTCTCCCTTAAATTACCCTAGCTCTTGATTTTACTATCTGGTTTTGTTTGTAGGTTTCATCGATCAATGTAGCTTATTCTAACTTTTTACATGCTTTTATAGGTATTCAAACCCTAGATGTTGATTTTATGTACAAGTACAGTTCATTAGGAGCTTTTGCTTAGTATTGTCTGGTTCAAGTCCTCTCTTTGCCTCTCTCTATTTGATTGTTTTTAGTTAACCTTTTAATGCAGTTAGAAAGTGTTGATTTTACTTGAAAAGAAAACTGAATGGAACGAGTATAACATTTCATTTATAGTTGTAGATTATTTATTTTGTTTCTGAAAACTTTTGAGATTTTTCATGCAACTACAACTATCTATTTTGGATTTTTATGTACAAGCTTTTAAAGCTTCACAAGATTGTAGGGAAATATAAAAAAAAACACCTATACTGATGGACTATATCCGTTGGTATATCCTGCACCTATACTGACGGACTACTTCCGTTGGTATGGTCTGAACCTATACTGACGGACTACTTGTGTTGGTATAGCTTGAACCTATACCGACGGGCTAACTGTGTTGCTATAGCCTGAACCTATACCGACGGGCTACTTGTGTTGGTATAGCCTGAACCTATACCAACGGTTTAGCAAATTGTCGGTATAGGTGTCTACACCTTATACTGACGGATTTTATCCATCGGTATAGACCTATACCGACGCTATCTTACCGGACGCATTGGGTGACCGTCGGAGTAGCTCGTTTAGGGCTATACCGATGGATAATATACCTATACCGACGGATTGGTATATACTAGAGTAGAGCTTGCTATTGAGTGGCCATGAGTGTACTCAAAAAAGGATGTGTCTTTTGAGATTGTCCACTGGGGAGCTACTATTCTCAAAGACTCTTATTCCTCTCTTCCCAGATTCCCCACATGACACAGCATGGATAAGAGCTTTTGTAAACACTCTTCCTCTTTTCCCCCAAAAATTTCCTTTTTCTTGAACTAAGAACTTGTGAATGCTATTAGGGGGGGCTCAATAGTAGTTGCCATTCCGACAGAAACCTAGCAAGAATTGCCATATTTATCCAGTCACTTTACAGTTCACGAGTAAATGTCAAAGGTATTGCCACACTTCTCTCGGAAAAGGGAGCACACAAGAGGGGAAATGTATAGTTTTCCTTTCCTTCTCTTCTGAAAAAGGGCATAGGTGTTGGTGCATTCAAGGGTCGCCTCCCAAATAAAAAAGGAGACTAAGGGGAGCCAAACCTTTTTCTCAGGGAAGGGAGGAGGGGGTGGTACCATTTGGAGTGAAGGGATAAGAAWACTTTGCCAAGGGAGATTAAAGCAGAGACATTTGTGATTTCCTGCTCAGTCAAATTTCTACAAAAGTTAAAGTTGTGGGAGAAGCCATTTACATCATAGGTAAGAATTGAGGAGACTAAGGCTTATTGTTTGTTTAAGATGAGATTGAAAAGACTTGGGAAGAAACAACACAAAGGGGTTGATGACTCAACCATAGATCAATTTAGAACTTGATGAGGTTACCATCCCCTAAGTGAACTGAATGAAGTTCGAGAAAAGAAAAGGCGAGGATTGGATGATACCTTTCCAAGGGTGACTAGCTGAGCAACAATGGCTTAGATGGGAGCTACCCATCCCTGAAGCACTTTCACCAAAGATACTGCAAATTGCAGAAGCCAAGAAAACATTATGCTCTTTCTTTAATTTCCAGTGCCACTTCCCAAGAAAGGCTAGATTTCTTTCTTCTAAACGCCCCACACCCAAACCACCATTTTTTTGACTTACAAACAGTCTTCTAATTAACTTCAGATCCAATATGATTGTTTGACTTGGAAATCTTAGCATGAATAGTTTCTCCCTTCTCAACTACAACAACATTCACAGATGAGCATAGGGCATTGGAAAATCTAGAATCAATGCTTAGGGGTTACTTTTTGCTAGTTTTTCCAACATGAGGGTGTAAATGTTAAAAACATATTCACTTTCGCCATTTTGAGGAAAGCCAAAGATAATAACAAAACCATGTTAGAGGAATGAACTTGATTGAAGACAAGGACTGGGTCATATTAAGAACTGAACTCCGTTCACATCATGATTAGTGAATTTGTAACATAAGTACTACCAAATGCAGAAAATCCGTAGTTCCATACCTAATATCTTGGGCATGAAGCTGCTTTCCTAGATTTAAACCCTCTACTCTTACCACAATTGAAACAAATGTTGCTTCCTTTGGCTCTCCATTCCCATCTATAGAGCTTCATAAAACAAACCGGTGTTTCTGTTGCATGCTCATTAAGAACATAACCTTGAATTGCCATGATAAGAGCTACATGTTACCAAAAAATGAAAGGAGCTAAAATATTTTTGCTATGCACTCATTTTTGTTGTTCTTCAAAACAAAAAGGAATCCCCTTCGGAGGCACTTAAAACAGAAAGTTAAACAAGAGATCATTAAGAACCTAACTTCAATTCCCATCATTTTTGAACACCCTCAATATTTCTTTGAAATCACCTGTATAATCCACCATCATGAAAGTGTAAACGATAATTTCTGGTTCCAGCCGCATTCTGTATATGCAATCTTAACCAATGCATAAAACAGCTTAACCAAAGGAGTATCAACAACTGTGTCCGATCGCAAACTCTGTAGCTTTGTCAATAGAGCATGTGTGTGCAATGCAAGTGGGTAATTATTTGTTTCAGCACAAGCCTTGAGAACTAATCTCGGCATTGTCTGGTGGTTGAGGTGGAAGATCATATTGACAAACAGATGGAGAGAGGTCATGTGACTGCCTTTCCATGAACATGAATATTACATGTCTATTACAATCAGGGAAGAGAACTTGTTGGAGCAGGAATATTATGATAGAGATGTTACTCTGGTGGTTATTAGTTTCAGATTACAGTCACTGGTTTGTAATGAAGCTATTGGGGTTTTAGTTGGTGAATATTGAGACAACAGAATGAGCTTGGCCAAGGGGAAGAACAAAAACAAGTCAGCATTATCCTTTAGGAACCAACAAGAAGGATCGGATTTTCATCCAACATCATGAACAGAAGTTGGTAATAGTTGATTGAAAAAAAAAAGAAGAAACAATGTGAATTTCTCCAAAAATCTGAAAAAGATGGAAATAGTCAAGAATTTTTGGACCATTTCTCTACGTTCCAATTTTATCGGATGACTCCTGAGAGAGCCTAAAAGAGAAACTAAATTTATTTAAATCGTTCATACCCTTATCACTTAAATGATGTGGGGCTCGAGATGGTGTTTTTGGGAAAATGGATCACCAACTCACCGATTAATTACCACTCCCTCTTAGTATTTTATAGATCAAAAGCAAAATATATTACTAAGAAGCAAAGATATCTCATTAAAAAAATAGTCGACTTATGGTATTTGTTACTTTATTTTTATGACATTCATATCCTTTTCCTCTTAATAAAATTTGGATTAAAGAACTCTTAAACATAAGGGTAATGGAACCTTATTGGTTGAGTGGGTTGACCCGATCGAATAACATGGACCTGACCACTTATCCAATTGGTCCTGATTTTTTTTCTCTTTTTAACCCATCAGGGTGCAGGCAAGGGCTTGAGCAGAGCAAAAGGTGTTCATGGTTCACTTAATTGTAGACTTTTTTTTAAACTCTACCAATTTTTCAGTTTTTTGGAAAATTGCAAATCGAAATCAAACCAAAACTAACTGATCAATTGATTCAATCGGTTTAGTTTTTGACTGAGTTGATTCTTCAATTTTTTTAGTTTTTTAGTATATAATATATTTATAAATAAATATATAACTATATAATATAAATACTAGAAATATGTGTAATATATTATATTATAACTAACATATAGAGCTGGCAATTTTGACCCCAACCCACTTGACCCACTCATTTTAACGGTGGGTCAAGATGGATCACTCAACCCATTAGGGTCAGGGGAAAAGGGTTAGGTGGGGTTGGGTCRAGGGTTACCCCAGCTCAGACCAAATGACGAGGTACTTAGCACAAAAAATTGATACATGACCAAAAAATTGATTCATCAATTGGCGCCGTTTGTGAGAAACGCTACAAAAAGCCCAGTTTTCATCATCCGAAAGGTTAAGCCTTCTTCTTCCAGAAAGCTAAGTTATACTAAAAGTTCTCGCTTTTTAGTTTCCATTTTTTATGAACTCAAAGACTATGCAGGAAGTTGATGGCCAACAGACTAAGTAGCTCTACCAACTTTATTTTAACTCGGATAAAGCCTCATCAGTCCTTTTTGTGAGGTACTCTCTACAAAGATGAACTCTTTGTGGTTTTTGTGAGAGTAGGCGATCAACAAATTGCATGGATGCCCTTTCCGATTGAGCCTTCCAAGGCTCCCATGCGAGCTGGTGACCTAAAGTCAGTAGTGCTGCCCCCGTAGGTCAAGCTCTTAGTAGCTTCTTGTAGGAGTGGGTAACCGACGTCAYTAACGAGGCTGATGCAGTGTAGCCGTAGCTCTAAGGCGCCGACCTGGCAAGCTTGGCCCAGGTGCGACCTGGCAGCCTGGCCTAGGTGCGACCTGGCGGCCTGGCCCAGGCGCAACCTGGCGAACTGATAAAAGACCTCGGCATGGGCACATAAGTCCTAGTCGCTTCCTCGGCATGGGCACATAAGACCTAGTCGCCTCTTCGGCATGGGCAAAATCAAAGATCAAGGAGAGTGGACTACGAGTCGCTCCTAGAGCCTAAGGGCTAAAGCGTCGAATTGGCA